TTTTTTTTTTTTTTTTTTTTTTTTTTTTTTTTTTTTTTTTTTTTTTGTTATTGGGTGCTGGTAGCTCCAGAATTTTGTGACCACTGTTGTGGTTAAAATGTGTCTGCATCGCTTGTTAACGTTCCTTGGTCTAACCTTATTCAGTACGCTTCAGTCACCAAACTTGGAGCTCAAAATATATAAATACTATTTTATGTTGTATTCCTCCATTCATTTTACCCCCAAAACAGAAGTAAATAAGAGTTCGGAACCCAAGGTAAAACGGTAGCCTCATTCAATACATCATTAAAATGCATCTAATTTCCTCTTTTAAAAAAGTGATATATTGTATTTCATGCATTTAATCTTCAGTTCATAATTCCTCCAGGAAAATAATTCAGCCTTTTGACTACTTTCAAACCGGCTGAGAACCCAGCGGGGAAGGGGTGGGGTGGGGTGAGGTATGCGGTGGGGCGATACCCGTGAGTTGATTGTGATTAAGCACCTGAGGATATTTTACTTGTACTTTTGTGAATTGAGAGGATGCACAAATAATGTTGGTGAGGGCAAATACAGATATTTCATATGGAGTAGAAGTAAATGCTAGTTATGACATTTGTGGGTAGTTGGGTTTTTTTTTTTTTCAGTCAAAATGATCTTGATGTGGAAAGGTGCTTCTGGGAGTTGTCATCAGTGACTGATTTTTTTCCCCCAGTCACCCTTGCCAAATATGATACTCTGTCAGTTACAATATTATTGAGTGGTTCTTTGTAAAATTATTTATGAATGTGGGAAATCCATCCCTCCACAGCCTAGAATACACATACATTTCAGGAAGTCTGACTGCACTAACAAGACATTTCTTCAGGCAGTCTTCTTGGGAACTTTGAAATTGTTTTTGTAAGTTGGCTTTCTTTCCTCAGATTTGGTCCCTTCCAGTGTTCTGTGGTTCACTGTCACTCACTGAAGAGAGAAAAATGTGCCCTACGCTTCCCACGACAATCACCTTGCTGACAGAATGAATGATGTCTTAAAATATTGCACAAAAATGCTTTAAAGGAAGGTCCCTGGGGACCCAGGAGCAGGGCCGCCTCTCCTCGGAAGACCTCTTGGCTTTCAGTCCTACCTAAATCAGAGGATTAGGAACCATCACATGTCACAAATTCAAGCATATTTAAGGGCATTTTCTTTGTTCTCAAAATTCACTATTCATTTTTGATCGAGAAACCTATATAGTTACCCAGCAAAGTGTACATAGAATTTCTTAACAACTGAATCATCTTACAGGATTTTGTGTTTAAAACTGGAGTTCAGTGTAAGCAAATGAAGAGAAAAAGCCATGGATTTCACAAATACAGCTTTTGATCCCTGTGTGGAGGTAATAAATCCCATTATTTGCCCCAATTTCTTTCTCTCTACACTAAAGCAATATGTGACATGTTCCCTTCTTGAGGGGGCAATTCATTCAACTCTCAACTTCTCTGTGAATGAAGATAGAACTTGTAGATATCCCAAATCACCAAAAGGGGAAAAACTAAATTGAAAATATTTTGTCTTCAAGAATGCCAAATATCTAGATTTTTTGAATTTATCAATATTTAACTATATAATTGGCACACCTTATTCTTTTGTTTATCCACTTATCCACATGAATAAAACTGATAAACCAGTACATATTCATTGGTTCATCCTATTATCAGGGTATAGTCATCTGTGAGGAGGAAATTTTTAAATGCTACAAATGATTTAACAGCTGATGTACACTTCAGACTGACTCTCACACAGGCAGGGAGACCAAAAACATATTACTGCCATGTGATTCTTAACAGTTATTTGGCTTAACATCCCATTTGATATTCTCTCTCTGAAAAATCTGTGGCAAGCCCATACACTGCAGTCAAGATTATAGATTGGTTAAGAAGAACGAATGTGCCTATTTGGCTTTAGGGTGAAAAGAACAAACTATTCCTCATGCTGATTCTCTTGGAGCCATTATCCTGGAAAGGCCTCCAAAGTCTTTGTGATTGTCATTATCACAGAATATGTGTGTCCTGTACTATGACACTCAATTTAGGGAGAAACAAAATAGAGGTGACCTCGCTTCTCTCAGGGAAAATTGAGAGTTGAACACAGGACAGGAAATGGGCTTTGCCACTTTTAGCTCGAGGCTTTTCCTACTGGACTTTATTTCCCCATGTTCTAGAAAGATACTAATGGTCAAGTGGAGCAAGTACTATACGACTAACCCCTATTGGGGTTTTTACTGAAGGGAGGCTGGTTTTTTTCTATTTAAATAGCTTGAGATACAAGTTGTGCAAAAGGTAACCTTCACACTTGGCCCTCTGGGCATTATTTCTGGAATTAATTGCTCGTGGCTATCAAACAGAATACTGACCAGAATGCTCTTCCTGTAGCTTAAATAATTGGTTCATTTCATGTGATTCTTGACCTGTTTATTTCTACCCTTAACGCAATGAAGTATTTCACTAATAAAACTGTTTCTAGGAAATTGCACTGGGAATTGTATGTTATGTCATCAGATGACCAGTTGTCTCTGGAGTTTCATTTGAAAGATGCTCTTTGCCCTCTTGACAGATTGGGCCACTTGTGATTTCTGCTCAGCTGTGGTGGCCACTTCTAGGCAGCCTGACCTGTTGAGCTTGAAGCGGGCCCCACACTGTGTTCCTCTGCCCCAGGGTTTTCTCCAGAGCCCGGGGAGCCCCTCAGGAGCACTGGGGACCAGTAGGCTCAGGTATCGACCCTTAACCAAAGGGGGCAGGAGCAGGAAGGAACATGTTTACAAGTGACAGAAGATATTTGCTTGGAGTTCAGAGAGGGAAGAATAGTGGAGATAAGGTTAGAGAGAAATGCAGGGTCCAGATCAACTTGGGTCTTATTAAGCCATGTTAAAGATTTTGGTCTATTTTAAGACCAACAGGAAGTGTTGCAAACTGGATTGAGGGGGACGGGGGAGAAATGGGAGACATGGCAGGCTTGTTCAGAAAGGCCTACTCTAGCTGCAAGGTGAATACATTGGAAGAGTCTACGTGGACACAGGGAGGTCAGTTAGGAGGCTGCCATGTTAGGTGGGTCCTTTGGGGTCTCCGTTGGCATGCAAGATGGATCTTGTGTGGGTGTCATGCACCAGCCTCCAGGGTGAATTCCACAAAGCTGCATAGCAGGGGTTAAGTCATGGGCTTTATTGGGGAAAATAAAAATGTTCAGGGATATAAGGCCAGGAAAGCAAGAAAAAAGGCACAGACCCTCCATCCTCCTGTCATCCCATGGAGGCCAGCCAAGGGCCAGAGTATTGTTTGGTCTCACTAAGGAGCACATACCTGCCTTCTAGTCCCCCTTTTTAAGGGGCAAGCGTGAAGAAGCAGTCTTGTCCATGAAGGAATGTACAAGCCACTGAGCAACAGGCAGTTTGGATTTCGGGTGAATGGTTTATAGAAACTGTCTGGGACTGCCAGCTGCCTATTTCCAGAACGTTACAATCTCCATCACTGGGGTAAAGAGGACCCTGGTTCCATGGGACCTGAGCTTGGGTGTAGCTCCTTCTCCCAGCAGAAGGGCAACCCAGAATGAGGTCACAGTCCAACAGTCCAGCTCACCGCACCGCAAGGGCTCCTGCAATGTCTAGGTACAGGTTGGCAGACCTTTTCTGTAAAAGGGCCCGATGAAACAGTTTTGGCTCTGCAAGCCTCTCTAGTCACAACTACTCAGTTGTGCTCTTGTATCATAAAAGCAGTCCTGGGCAACATGTAAACAAATGGATGTTTCTGTGTTCCAATAAAACTGTATTTACACAAATACATGACAGTCCACGTTTGGCCATCATTTGCTAATCCCTGGTCTAGGCAAAAGATTATGGTGACTGGAATCGGGGAGATGGCAGTGGAGATGAAGGGTTTTAGAAATGCTTAAGACTTGGAGATGGATACAGGAGAGGGACATATCACGGAACTCATTCACCCATTCCACGGTATTGAATAAGGTCTGTCTCGGGGGCAGACACTGCTAGCAGTAGGGATACAACCAGTTAAAAACAAAAAACAACAACAACAAAAGAGTTCCCTGTCCTCGTGGAGGTTATATTAAATGTGGGAAGCAATAAACAGGTGGTGGTAAGTACTAAGAATATTTAAGAAGCCACAGTGACAGGACTGGAATGTGCTATTTTAGAAAGGGTGGTCAGAGAAGGCTTCCTATGGAAGAAATATTCACCCGTTCTTTTTCATCCCCGATCCTTCTCCCCTTCCATCCATTATTTCTGTGATTTCAGTCTGAGGGTTCTCCCAGCTCTCTGGCCATGCTCTCTCAGGCTGTTGAGGGCTGTTTGCTCGCTTCTTAATACCTGTACTCAGCTGCAACCTCTTCTCACTTGATAACTCTTCCTGACAATTCCATTGACTCCCTGACTTCAATTACAACCTAAACACTTACAGCCGAAACACGGGTCTGGGTTCAACCTCAGCTGCACATACCAAACACCTGCTGGATATCCTCCGCCAGATTGTCCTCAAATCCAGAAAGCAAAAAAAAGGAATTCATTTTTTTCTTGTCTTCTTCCAAATTCCCATTACTGGGGAATGGCATCACAATCCACCCAGTTGTACAAGCCCGAAACCAGGGATTCTTGCTAGACTTTTTTCCCTTCCCTCCGGATCCCATCAATCATCAAGTCCATCTGCTCCTGTCTCCCTTCCCGCTGTCCTCTTCCCTGCGTCAGCACTCTCACTGGGACTCCTGCAATTACCACTACTGGCGTGATTTAGTTTTTTGAATAGGTAAGCCGTTTACATTTTCAAAAAGCATAAAAGGGGTTTATAGTGAAAAGTCTTCCTCCACCCATCTCCCAGATAACCCAGTTCATCTTCCCAGAGGCAACGATGTTACTCACTTTTTTATATATATCTTTCCAGGAATATTTTATACAAGAATGTGTATTATATATTCCAACC